AAGTTCATATTTACAGTTTATAAAGTTCATATTTACAGTTTATAAAGTTCATATTTACAGTTTATAAAGTTCATATTTACAGTTTATAAAGTTTATATTTAGTTTTTAAAGTTTATATTTACAATTTATAAAGTTCATATTTACAGTTTATAAAGTTCATATTTGCAGTTCATAAAGTTCATATTTACAGTTTATAAAGTTTATATTTAGTTTATAAAGTTCATATTTACAGTTTTTAAAGTTCATATTTACAGTTTATAAAGTTCATATTTACAGTTTATAAAGTTCATATTTACAGTTCATAAAGTTCATATTTACAGTTTATAAAGTTCATATTTACAGTTTCTAAAGTTCATATTTACAGTTTATAAAGTTCATATTTACAGTTTATAAAGTTTATATTTAGTTTATAAAGTTCATATTTACAGTTTATAAAGTACATATTTAAAGTATGGTGAACATGTGTGCAGTCAACGTGTCTCACCTCGGCCAAGTGTGCGCGACGTGGGGAAACCATCACTACAAGACCTTTGATGGAGCCTTCTTCCAGCTGCCCTCCACCTGTAAGCACGTCCTGGTGTCTCAGTGCGGAGGCAGCTATGAGGGTTTCGCTGTCCTCATGAGACGCTCCTCGTCCACCTCCATCAGCTTCATCAGCATGAAGCTGGACGGGCTCATCCTGGTGATCTCCAACAGCACCGTGACCGTCAACGACATAACGTGAGTCCAGAACCAGGACCGTGTTCAGAATTAATCTGATTGGTTGTTGAACCTGTCCTTTTAGAATTTTTCTGATTAGGACAGTTTGTAGTTTTACATCTCGTTAAAACAAGCTCTTTCCCATCATGTTTTGTGTTTGTTTCCTGTTGTTTACCCATCATGCTTTGTGTTTGTTTCTTGCAGGGTGTCTCTGCCACATGTTGCGTTTGGAGTCACAATTAAACAAACATCATCCGCCATCTTTGTTGAAGCCAGTCTTGGACTGAAAGCTGTCTGGAATCTGGACGACTCTTTAGAAGTATGAAGCTGATGTTCAAACTGGAGAAGATTCTCAGTCGTCCAGTTTAAAACTTTAAAGTTACACATCTAAACTTACCTGCAGATTAAACTCCTCCCACTCCCTCCTGAGGGTCATCGGGGTCTTTGTTAGACCACTCACATGATGGTTTGGTCACAGGCAAGAAATAATAAATTAAAATGGACAAAGTTTAAAATGAAAAATAAAAAGAAGTAGAAACAAACAGGGCTCTCCTTGGGCTGCTACCTTATCGTGGTGGAGGGGTTTGAGTGTCCCAATGGTCCTAGGAGCTATGCTGTCTGGGGCTTTATGCCCCTGGTAGGGTTACCCATGGCAGACAGGTCCTAGGTGAGGAACCAGACAAAGCGCAACCTGAAGACCCCTTATGATGATTAATAAAATTGGATCTGGCATTCCCTCGCCGGGACGCGGGTCACTGGGGCCCCCCTCTGGAGCCAGGCCTAGAGGTGGAGCACGATGGCAAGCGCCTGGTGGCCGGGCTTTCACCCACGGAGCCCGGCCGGGCTCAGCTCGAAGAGAAGACGTGGGTCCCCCTTCCAACAGGCTCACCACCTGTAGGAGGGGCCAAAGGGGTCGGGTGCAATGTGTAATGGGTGGCGGCCGAAGGAGGGGACTCTGGCGGTCTGATCCTCGGCTGCAGAAGCTGGCTCTTGGGACGTGGAACGTCACCTCTCTGGTGGGGAAG